AGGAGGGAGACAGCACAGGTAGGACAGAGGGTGGACAGCAGCGATGCTGTTACGGCAGATCAGGAGGGAGACAGCACAGGTAAGACAGAGGATGGACAGCTGCAAACCCTGCAGAGATTTACAAGAGCCTCCTGGGAAAGGATTTAACTCAGCAACAGAGATGTCTTCAGTCACCTTGGGGCGGGGAGTTTTGAGGGAGAGGGTAGCAGGTACCCAGCCTGCAATTCAGGAAGGAAGTGGGACCTGTAGGAAGAGAGCTAAGGAGTGTTTGTGCCACAGGGTGTCATGGGTAGGGGAGGATAGCCGGAGGGGAACATAGGATGGGGGAAAGTTGGTTTGTTTTTCCTGGGATTGTCTTGAACTTGTTGCAGTATTATGGTGGGAAAACTTACAGGGAGAGGAAATAACTGGCCCCCAAAGAGGTGGGAGGTGAGCTCCAGAGCAGTGGTGGAAGGATTTCAGATTCCTGCGTGAGGCCTAGGTGAGGCCAGGCGCTTTGTACTGAGAAAGGAAAGCACTGGCATTTTAGCAGGAAGGAACAAGTGGAACTCCATCCATGTTCTCGTACATTTTCCCTGAAGGTAAATATGACAAGCTGAGCTTTCACTTTGTAAACTAATAATTGGCACAAATTCACTTGGATTTTTGTATAATTTTGAACTTTAAGGAATCATTTTATTTTATTTTTTAATTTAATTTTTTTTTTTTTGAGACAGAGTCTCAAACTGTCACCCTGGGTAGAATGCTGTTGTGTCACAGCAACCTCAAACCCTTGGGCTTAAGAGAGTTAGCCCAAGTTAAGTTCCCCCCTCCCCCCTTGCCTCAGCCTTCCAAGTAGCTGGGACTACAAAGGCCTGCCACAATGCCTGGCTATTTTTGGAGATGAGGTCTTGCTCTATCTCTGGCTCAGGCTGGGCTGGAACCTGTGACCTCAGGCAATCCACCCACCTTGGCCTCCCAGAGTGCTAGGATTACAGGCATGAGCCACCTGGCCCAGCCTAACAAACCATTTTAGAGTTTGTAGTTTGATTATGGAAGGCACCCTATGTTTGGGTCTTTTAGAGGTGGTAAAGTGATTTTTAGATTGCTTTTGTCCCTTTGTGCTTTGCATTGACAGGATTGCCCCTGCAATGTTACGCCAGGCATCCTATGGCACCATCAAGATAGGCACTTACCAGAGCTTGAAGCGACTATTCGTTGAACGTCCAGAAGGTGGGTGGGGACTCTTTTTCCACTGTGGACCGGGTTGGGGGTTGTGGGGTTGTCTGTCTTTGTGTTCAAGTGGTTTTGGAGCAGAGTTTCTTCAGCTTATTTGTGACTTGACTACTGTTAAGGAGAACTCAGGATAGAAAGTCTAAACAAATTGTGCTTAGAGCAAGTAAGTTATCAGCTGAACTGCAGGGAGTAACTGTTAAGAGGAACCATCTCCACAAACATGTTAACTAGTTGTCTTCAACTCTGAAATGCCTGGGCTAGAGGATATGTTGTTTCCTTTATATCCAACTTAACATTTTCTAAAATCATATGAGTTATCATCTGTTTTTTAGGAAAGCAGTGAATACATTTCTTAGTATTAAGAGCTCGGAATTCTTACGGTAAAAATGTAGTATAATTTTAAAAAAAGACAAAAAATAAATAAATAAGTTGGACTCTGATACTCTGTGGCTGGTTCGTTCCATAAACCTATTTCTTTTTTACAGTGGATAGGCACCTGCCAGTGTTTTGTGAGAACAAGAGCTAAGATGCTTTGGAAATACTGAAGTATTCAAACTAAATGTGTACAATGTACTTACAAACTTTCTGTGCCAAATCAGCCTCCAGGCTATGTCATGGGACTGTATCTTTTATATTCTCCTCACAGATACCTCCTCTTAATCAAGATAGTCTACATTTATACACAAAAGCGAACTGATAGATCACTTTGCATGATGATTCACATTCCTTTTTAGATAAGAAATTTGCTAAGCAAAATCCCTTAGCCAGCAAAATTCCTGATCCTTTTAGAATTACTTAACACACGAAGCATAGATTTAGCTTATGGTGAACAAGTGATGTGTCAGTGAGTTATACCTATTTTTGAATTATTCACAGGAAGAGCTCTCTATATGAAAAGTCAAATAATATGTCATTATTTACAGATGAAACCTTACCAATAAATGTCATATGTGGAATTCTCTCTGGAGTCATATCCTCAACCATTGCTAATCCAACTGATGTTTTGAAAGTAAGTTGTACTGTCCACATCTTATAGGCATAGGCGCATTTCACATTTGCTTGTTGAGAACAACATTCAGATTATGAAAAATCTGCGAATGTACCATGAATCTGTTTATAAGTTAAGTGCCATGACAACTCTTTTTTGAGACGAAGCCTCAAGCTGTCCCCCTGGGTAGAGTGCTATGGCATCACGTTCACAGCAACCTCCAACTCCTGGGCTCAAGCGAGTCTCCTGCCTCAGCCTCCCAAGTAGCTGAGACTACAGGC